GGGCTATCTGGTGACCAAGGTGGTGGCAGTGGACAAAGACTCAGGCCAGAACGCCTGGCTGTCCTACCGCCTGCTCAAGGCCAGCGAGCCAGGGCTCTTCACGGTGGGGCTGCACACGGGCGAGGTGCGCACTGCGCGGGCCCTGCTGGACAGAGACGTGCTCAAGCAGAGCCTGGTGGTGGCGGTCCAGGACCACGGCCAGCCCACTCTCTCCGCCACTGTCACGCTCACTGTGGCTGTGGCTGACAGCATCCCAGACGTCCTGGCCGACCTGGGCAGTTTCGAACCCTCCATCACCCCTGACGACTCCAGCCTCACGCTATACCTGGTGGTGGCAGTGGCCGCTGTCTCCTGTGTCTTCCTCGCCTTTGTCATTGTGCTACTGGCACTCAGACTGCGCCGCTGGCACAGGTCTCGTCTGCTCCAGACATCCGGAGGCAGATTGGCAGGCGTGTCCGCCTCTCACTTTGTGGGCGTGGACGGGGTGCAAGCTTTTCTGCAGACCTATTCCCACGAGGTCTCCCTCACCGCAGACTCAGGGAAGAGTCACCTGATCTTCCCACAGCCCAACTATGCGGACACGCTCATCAGCCAGGAGAGCTGTGAGAAAAGCGAACCTCTTCTGGTAACTCAGGATTTACTTGAAGACAAAAAGGAAGCATTTTCTCAGGTAAACTTTTTGTAGTAAATTTACCTAGATAAAAATAATCCCCTAGTTTACTTACTTGCTTTTACTACTAACAGTTCTTCTATTTTACATATATCTTTGTAGATTTCTATTTACAAGTCCTGGGAAATCATTATAAAGTGTTTATATCCACTGTGTGTGTGTGTGTGTGTGTGTGTGTTTCACTGAAAAGGAGACTAATTAATCATAATGTAGGTGGTTGGGATGAAGAGTATGTGTGAGATGCCATCTGGGTTGTGGAAAGCACTGCCTCAGAAACAAGGAGATCTGGCTTCCACTCTTTTCTTGCTTGTCTCTAGCCAAATAATTTTTTTTTCTGGGTTTACATTGTCTTATCTAGAAAGGATAGAGTTTGTCTATTAAAGGCCCACCAATATTTATATGACTAATACTGTTTTCAAATTTCCTTACATTATGAACACCTCCTAATTTATCCCTAAACTTAATGTAGATTTCATCTGGCAGGTGTCAGGATGCTATTTTATTTTGGATAATTTAAAGATAGTATTTTTAGTTGTGTGAGTATAAAATTATGGAAATCTATATGAACTGCAAATTTAAATTATTGTTGGATACCTTAGCTCTTTGTTCATTTTGAAATATTTTATGCATGCTGAAGAATTCTTCAAATGTTTGTTACTTATGAGATGAAGTAATAAAATGAATGATAGAAAATTTACTATGCAACTTGAGAATTAGTTTTGAAGTCTCCTGACTTGTATATTATTCCTGTAATGGAAGTGACTAACAAAAATCAAGTATATATCCTATTTTAGTATGTGTGCTAACCCTTCACAAGAAATGCATCAGAGGGGAGTAAGCCCATGCTTTGATTTACTTACTCTGCTCCAACAATGTACAGAGATATATAAAATATAAAAAGAGGAAAACAAAAACATAATAAGGCACAAATAAAATATAAACATCTAAATGGACCAAAAGTGAAACAGAAAGTGTTAAGCCAGGCTAAAGCAGTGGGAGTTCCAGTCTTGGGCTTAGATGCAGCCATTGAAGGTCAGGAGATTGTTCCAGCAATGTAATAGGGCCCAAAGTGCTTCAGGCTAAACAAGGGACCTGAGCCAGGCTTACTACATGAATCCAAAATTAGCAATTAGGCCCCTCAGCTAGTTAAAAAGGGGAAATCAGGGCCGGC